GAGGGTAGTACCGTTAAGCTAGATGGACGGTGGAGGTGTGTCTGAACCAGGGGCAGCTTGAAAGAGAATCTGAGTCTTATGTACATTCACCTCAAGGCCGAAGTGTGCATAAGCATCTGCGTAGGTGTTCATGTGTTCAGTGTGAGCGACAAGGGTGAGGTCGTATGCATACTGGAGTTCAGTAATTGAAGCTGCCGAAACCTTTGTTCCTGCCTGGAGTCGTCTTGTATTGAAAACACCCTTCATCTAGTACTGGACGTCCACCCCGCCAGCTAAATTGGCACTGGCACAAGTAAGGAAGGCAGTCAAGAAAATGGAAAAGAGATTGGGTGCCAGTACATATCCTTGTTTTACTCCCGTTTGAATGGGGAAGAACTCAGACTGGGTGCCATTTTGCAGGACACTGCCATTCATGCCATCGTGGAGCTGCCTCACACTGGCAATGAATTTTGGTGGGCAGCCAAAACGGCGCAGTGTCCGCCAGAGGGCTTCCCTGTTGACAGAGTCGAGGGCCTTGGTTAGGTTGATGAATGCCATGTGTCTGTCACAACGCTGTTCTCTGCACTTTTCCTGTATCTGGCGAGCAGCAAAGATCATGTTAGTGGTGCCATGTGATAGTCTAAAACCACATTAAGATTCTGGGAGGAAGTTTTCCGCCTCAGAAAGAAGTCTGTTTAAGAGGACTTGGGCGACAATCTTGCCAGCTACGGACAGCAGCGAGATCCCGTGGTAGTTGCCACAGTCTGACAGGTCTCCCCTGTTCATATAAATATTGACAATGGAGATGTCTTTAAGAGCTTGGGGATTTCCACCGTTTCCCATTTTTTCTCCAGGAGAGAATGGAGGTGGCTGGTAAGCAGAGGTCCTCTTGCTTTATACACCTCGGCTGGGATTCCATCAGGCCCTGAGGCTTTGTTATTTTTCATCTGTTTGATGGCAGTGGCTACTTCATCCAGGGATGGAGAATAGCTGAGGTGGGTCAGTTCTGGATGCTGAGGGACCAGCTGGGTAATCAGGACATCCACATCGGTGTTTCGATTGAGCAGCAAATGGCATTGCTCTTTCCAGCACTGAAGGATGCCGCCTTCCTCGTCTATAATTAGGGAGTTACCGTTGGATGAGCGGAGGGGGGCTCCGCCACGAGTGATTGGCCCATGAAATGTTTTAGTGGAATTGAAAAATTCGCTCATCTTGCGTTGATCTTCAAGCTTTTGCATTTCACATGCTTTATTTTTAAACCAGGCTTTTTTTTCGCTGGGCCACCGCTTTCTTCTTGCGGAAGGTATCGGCTTTGGTTCGAGACTGAGGGTTGTTCTGCCAGTTAGTTAAAGCAGCACAGTTATCATTGACGAATACATTGACTGCCGGGTCATTTTCATTAAACCAGGCCTGGCTTATTCTTTCGATCTAGCCGAGGGTCTCTTTGCATATTTTTTTCATGACAATGTCGAGAATACCCCATTCGGCACTGGGATTTGGAGTGTTTGTTGTCGGGTTGTTAATCAGCCCATGTTCGAGCTGCTCTCTGAAGGCATGTGCTACCACTGGATCCTTCGACGCTTAATGTTAAAACCTCTTTTGGGGGCTTGTTGTCTTTGCCATTTCGGGGCGACGTGAAGTGAGAGTTTGGCTTTGATGAGCCGATGATCAGTGTTGCAGTGGTCTGAACCACGCATGGCTCGGGTGATGAGAACATTTCGGTGATCTCTTTCCCTGACAATGATGTAGTCAATGAGATGCCAGTGTTTGGATCGTGGGTGTTGCCACGAACCCTTGAACTTTTCGGCCTGCCTAAACAAGGTATTGGTGATAGTGAGGTTGTGTCCAGCACACTTGCTGAGGAATAGGCCATTGGGATTACACTTGCCTAGTCCATTTCTCCCTATGATTCCCTGCCAAATGTCAGCATCTCTGCCAACTCTGGTATATAAGTAACCTAGGAGCACAACCTTATCGTCTTTGGAGATAGAGGTTCGCACTCTGTCAAAGTCGGCGTAAAAGGCCTCCTTGATGTCATCCTGCACGTTCAGTGTTGGGGTTTGTGCCCTAATGAAGAAGGCATGACGCGAGTGATTTAGTGGGACTCGGGGCGTCTTGAGGCGCTCGTTGATCCCAACAGGTATGATACAGTCACCCCCGGTAAGATACAGTCACCCCCGGTATGATAGTCACCCCGGTAAGATACAGTCTCCCCCGGTATAATACAGTCACCCCCGGTATGATAGCCACCCCCGGTATGATACAGTCACCCCCGGTATGATACAGTCACCCCCGGTATGATACGGTCACCCCCGGTATGATACAGTCGCCCCCGGTACGATACAGTTATCCCCACTGTGATACAGTCACTCCATGAACTAACACCTTACCGTTCCTGTAATGTCTAACTCAAACCTGTAATTATTTTTCATAGATCCGACAGTTTATTTTAATCTAACACTTTATCACTGTACCTGTTGTGGTGACTTAAATCTGTAATTGTTTTTTTATTTATACTTTCGAATAAAACTTGTGAAAATACTGTACCTGTATTACATAATTTCATCTAAAGTACTGACAATATATTTCTCTAGCTGTACTTAGGATTTCTTTTACTGTATTGAAATCTAATGGTGCCTCTATTACAAGAGACAAAATGTATAGAAAATTTTGAATAAATTAATAGTGTGTCTGTGGAAGAAATCCTTAAGTGTTGAGACTAGACTGTGTCAGACTGGCTGCTTCACACTTCCCAAGGTAAATGTTGGCACACCTAGATTATACCTCCCTCCCCCTCTCCCTCCCTCCCTTGGCTACTGGGGGAGGTTGGGGGTGAGATGGGACCAAGTTTAGACAAAGTGTGATGTGGATGTTGGGGAGGTGAGGTGTGTGTTGATGAGGTGTGAGGTGTGTGTTGGGGAGGTGAGGTGTGTGTTGGGGAGGTGAGGTGTGTGTTGGTGAGGTGTGTGTTGGGGAGGTGAGGTGTGTGTTGGGGAGGTGAGGTGTGTGTTGGGGAGGTGAGGTGTGTGTGTTGGGGGAGGTGGGGTGTGTGTGGTGTGTGTTGGGGGAGGTGAGGTGTGTGTTGGGAGGTGAGGTGTGTGTGTTGGTGGGTGTGTGTTGGGGAGGTGGGGTGTGCTGAGTGGGAGGTGAGGAAGTGTGTTGAGGAGGTGAGGTGTGCGTTGGGGTTTGAGGTGTGTGTTGGGGAGGTGAGGAGGTGTGGTGGTGTGTGTTGGGGAGGTGGGGAGATGTGTGTGTTGGGGAGGTAGGTGTGTGTGTTGCTGGGGTGGGAGGGTGTGTGTTGGGAGGTGAGGTGTGTGTTGGAGAGGTGTGGTGCGTGTTGAGGTGAGGTGTGGTGGTGTGTGTTGGGGTGGTGGGGTGTGTGTTGGGGGTGAGGTGTGTGTTGGAGAGGTGTGGTGCGTGTTGAGGGAGGTGAGAGGTGTGGTGGTGTGTGTTGGGGAGGTGAGGTGTGTGTTGGGGAGGGAGGTGAGGTGTGTGTGTGTGTAGGGGTGTGTGGCAGGAGGTGAGGAAGTGAGAGGTGTGGTGGTGTGTGTTGGTGAGGTGTGTGTTTGGGAGGTGAGGTGTGTGTTTGGGAGGTGAGGTGTGTGTTTGGGAGGTGAGGTGTGTGTTGGAGAGGTGAGAGGTGTGTGTATATTTAAGACCTTCACACCTGATCATACCTGAACCTTATAATAGTTAAGTACCAATTAATTACCTACCTGTGTTATATTAATCATTCATGGAGTTTTGGTTAGGGTAAGTTAGGTTCGGTTAAGTTAGGTTAGGTTAAGTTAGGTTCGGTTAGGTTAGGTTAAGTTAAGTTAGGTTCGGTTAGGTTAGGTTAGGTTAGGTTAGGTTAAGTTAGGTTAAGTTTGGTATTCTCATTTTTTATTGAATTTACTTTTTTGTCTTTTTTTTAATTGATTTATGTTTTAAGTTTATGACATTGGTTTTTATTTTACGGTTAAATAATTTCAATATTAACACACACACACACACACACACACACAATATTGTTGAGAGTCAATATTGAATAGCTGAAGAAGAATATTGACACACATGCTTGCTTCATTACCACACCATCATAGGTCGTATCTCTCCTCGACGTGTCACACTAAATCGGTTTAATTGTCCATTACTGGTTTATTCGAGAATTTATTATAGAGGTTATTTGTCTAACAGTTGTGTGTGTGTGTGTATGTGTGTGTGTGTGTGTGTGTGTGTGTGTGTGTGTTAGAGACAGTTCAACTGGTCTTATGCCTTATACTGGACGACATATTACAGTGCAGTATACATCGCGTCTTGCCAAGATGAATGTAATCTCTCTCTCTCTCTCTCGTCTCCTTCATCACGTAATTGACTCAAGTTGACGGGATATCTCTCTTCTCGCCTCATCTACGTCATTCCATTTATTGAAAGTCGCTTATTACCTTTATTCCTCACTGACAGTCATGGCTTCATCACGTCTATATATAAAAGATGAGAAAAAATGAGAATTGGACGAAGTAGCGAGGTGGGACTGTGGGTCTTGTGGTGGTAGTGGTGTAGGGCGTAGGTCGTGTGTGTCTGCTCCCTGGTGTTATGAGATGGGGGAAGGAATGGGTTGATCATGTGGTAAATGGGATGTATCGTCAGGGGAGGGGGAAAGGACCGGAGGAGGAGGAGGAGTAGAGGATGAGGAGAGGAGAAGGAGAGGGGGAGATAGAAGGAAGAGGAAGAGGATGAAGAGAAGAAGAGAAGTAGAAGGGTAAATAAAGGAGAGGAGGAGGAGGAGGGGGAGAGAGGGGATGATAAGCAAGGAAGGGAGGGAAATAATTAAGGAAGGTGGTAAGGAGAGGGGGGTTAGTTATCGGGGAAGGCAGGAGACTATGGTGAGAGGTGTTTGATGAGGAGGAGGGGGGGGGCAGTGTTGGGGAGGTGTATCAGCTGTCGTCTCCCTCAAACACACACACACACACACACAATCTCACGCCCACTCACCCAATCTCACGCCCACTCACCCAATCTATGTCTTCCTCCTACAGATGGACTGGTGGACTGCTCGGACTCAGAGTGTTGTTCCACAGACGCCTGCACCGACCACGTCATGTGTATGGTGTCCAGTGATCCTGTAGAAGTGCTCCTCCGTAAGCAGCCGCCCGCCGTCACCGCCTCCTTCTACCTGCGGGTGAAGTTTATCATCGAGGACTCCAGTGTTCAGAGCTTCGCCCAGAAAGACGAGTATAGCGAAAGGTAATGTGTGAGATGCATTGGTCAGTAGCTCTTCATGGTAGTTTGATATGTGTGTGTGTGTGTGTGCGTGCGTGTGCGTGTGCGTGTGTGTATGTGTACGCGTCTTATGTGATCAGTCTAGAGGTCACTGGTGTCATTCTGGAGTATAAGGTCACGGATTGATTATTAATGACCTTTAATGACCTATTATTTTTTATAATTGTTTTGAGTAGAAAGTTGTTGTCATTGCAATGGTTTAATTAGACCATAAGTCACCCTTAGTTTTTATTAATAAGGTAACAATTATTACCTTATAATATTTGACCTAACTTCCGGGATGTGACCAATGACCTCCCTCGCTGTAAGCTCTCCTGGGGGTCAATCTACAACTCATGTCTTTATTTATTTTATTTTATTTTTATTTTTTTTTAAGGAAGGAAAAAAATAATGTTAAAAAAAACAGAGAAGAGGTGCGAGGTATTATGCTAACGTCGTCCCTCCTTAGATGCAACAGCAGGTCTTATCCCCTTAATAAATAAACCATAACACCTGTCTCTCTGACCTGTGACCCTGGTTTAAACACCCCCTCAAAACCCCCCACCACCCCCCCCCCTCTGCTACACCTCAAACGGGCGCCTCAAAAAAAAAAAAATATACTATATTCCTTTTGTTTACTTTCATGGTAGAAGAAACTCCATCAAAAGTGAAGCTATTTACGATGTTTTTCTGTTAATCAATTGTTTCCCTCCTCCCTCCCTCTTACACCCCCAATGCCTCCCCGGCCCTCTCCTTCTCCTCCCTCCTCCCAAACATTCCACATCCTCTCTCTCTCTTGACGTTTTCCTCCTATTCTCACTTCCTTTTACCTATCATTCGTTCAGGCCTCCTCCTCCTCCTACTTCTCTTTCACGTTTCCTCTTTGTCTTTTTTCTCATCCACTCTCTCTTCTAAATCTCTCCCTCTTCTTATTTATCCTCCTCCTCTCTTACCTTATTCTCACCCTCTTCCTCCCCTCCAATGTTCCGCCTCGATCAATGTCAACGGGCCACCTGCCGCAAACGTTCCGCGCCTGTAAACAAACGTTCCACACTTACCCCTTTAATATGACTTAACCTCTTTATACAAAACGTTCACGTACACTTAACCCCCTTATTACGAGAGGATCATGTACTCTTGACCCCTTTATACAAGAGCATAATATACACTTAACCCCTTTAATACGAGACAATGACGTACAATATCAGAGTGGAGTATCATCCCAACTTTTGCCGAAGTATAATGCAACCTAACCTACCCTAACCAAAACACTGAATGGTATTACTAGCGACTTCTTTACTGTGTTGCATAGGCCTTACTGCCGACTTCTTTACTGTGTTGCATAGGCCTGCCAACTATTTACGTGCTCCACTCATGTGTATGTCGAATGGGTCAACCGTTCCGTGATGCACTCGTCAAAACTCCGGGAAAAATGATTCATTATCTCACTGTACAGTCATTCAAATAACTTATCTGTACTCGGGTTGATCGATGAATTTCAGAATGAACACTACGACTCCTGTTGTCTCGGTTTGGTTGTCAAAATCCTTCGTCCGTTGTGTCATATTTTCTCAACACAATTTTGTATAGATAGTTTTTTGAGTGACTGTACAAGCGACCTGCAGGCTGGCCCAGATTGACCTGATACGAGAGGTGACGTCACGATTTCGACCCCCCCCCTCTTCCTTGACCTGTGACCTCCCTCTCTGTCGTTTTCGTGTTCCCCCTCTCTCTCTCAACCCAACCTCCCCACTGTCCCCCCCGGAGAGCCCAGTGTAATACCTCACCTCTTCTCTTCCTTGTGTCTGTGTACATCTCTCTCCTCCCTCCTTCTCCCTCTCGTTAATTCCTCCTCCTACTCGTCCTCTACCTGCTCCTCCTCCTCTACCTTCTCCTCCTCCTCCTCCATCTTTCTTGATACTATTAAGACCAGCCTCTGGAGGGTTGTTTGTTTTTCTCTTTCCCTTATAAGTTCTAATAATACTAACCCTTTACTTTATGTAGTGATTATTTTACAGTCTCCTTTAGGGATTAATTATGTACAAAACAGAAGACATAATCCCCCGTAATTGTGAATGATCTGAATAAATAAAACAAAAGTGTGTGAATCCCTTTAATCTGATCGATGACCAGTTAGCTTTATCCCTCCAGATCGTGGTACCACCAAAGTCGCCCTTATGACCAGTGTTACATAAGGTCGCTTATTACTGGGGGCGACTTTGGACAGTTATAGCCATGTCATTTTGTTTCCTTTCAGCACAAGTTTTGTGATGGTCATTGAAGAGGTTTAAGAGTCATAGTAACGATGTAATGGCTACCACCAGATAGATAGTCGTGTGGTGATCACAGTGTCTATTGTACAGCTGTGTGACGTCACGCCCTCCAACCCGAGTGCCCCTCTGTTACCACACACTGCCCCACCAGCCAACACGTACAGTGGTGTTCACAGTGGGTGTCGGGCCTCGGGCTGGGCTCTCGGGCTTGTAGTTTGCTCTGAAGAGTTGCACTGAAGCCTTTGTACCATGATTCATGGTTCAGCCCTTGGCGGAGCCTGACCAGGGCGTGTCGATAAGACCAGCCACTAGGGACCTGATCCTCCTACACATTATCAAAAAATCTTACTTTGGTTGGTGCTACACGAGTCTTGTTGCTTACTAACAAAAGCCGCTAATGATGAGGTCTTCTTAGTGACTCACTGTTTGTTAAGAAAACTTAAAACTCTCGTTAATAAATGTTGAGTCACTAAATGTATTTCTACGACGATTTGTTATTAGTAAGCAGAGACACTTGTGGTGGAGACGTGGACGGCGGGAAGTAAGTGTTTGATAATAAGTCTTGAGGACACGCCCCGCCAGACCCCACAAGGACTGATGTGTTCTGCGTCTAGCTGTTAAGGTTTTCTGTCTTAATGTTATGTTGAGGCATATGCTAGAAACACTCAACACTTCTCTCTCACATTTTACGTCACGGACTAAAGTCAATATAGTCAGATTAATAATTCCCTTTAGATATTGATTCAAACATAAAGCGCTGTTTTGTTAAATGTGTTTTTATATATTTCTCTTGAACCTTCCGTCACCACAAGAACAAATAAAGTGGAGTTAAAACATTTAATAAAGATGACTTATATTGCACTGGTCATTGTGTTTTGTATTCAAAGTAATGTTTATAAGCAGTAAGACAAACACCTTCCTGTCGGGGCAGAGAAAATGTGTTAGAGATTTTTATAAAGTCAATATAAACCAATTATTTATTTCAGTGTTATAAATGAAGACTTAATACAAAATGACCCCCACTATAATGATTGTAATTTATAAATATACCATACAGACTCTACTTAAAGTTAAATAGTAAAGTAAATATTAAAAAAAAAAGGCCTCGTATACACTGCGTCAGGCACCTGCAGAAACCCATAGCTTACTGATGCCTCCTGGTCCGTCAGGTGGAGAATCCTACGGTACCTTCAGCCTCTGTTGTGTCCCAGTGTGGAGTACCCCCCCACACATACATATATATATATTTGATTGTGTTTTTGCTACTTAAGGGTCCCAATCATTAAGCCAGTCACCGCCAGAGGGCCATCAGTGCCTCGGTAAAGCCATGGGTTTCATCAGTGTCTAGCCGTTGCCTCTAGTGTAGTAATCTTTGTGTGAATGTTAAAGTTACTCAGTAGTGTCCTGACCTAGAAATAACATCTTCTCTAGCGGCTGCCTCCTCGCGGCCTCTTGTGCTAGTGTGTGTGTGTGTGTGTGTGTGTGTGTGTGTGTGTGTGTGTGTGTGTGTGTGTGTGTGTGTGTGTGTGTGTGTGTGTGTGTAGGTCATGCATCACTCAACAACAAGCAGCTGACTGGAGCCCTCATAACAAACCTTATAGTAAAACAGTGTTGGTATGTGTCACGCCTGGTACTACTACTGCTACTACCACTACTACCATTACTACTGCTAAATCCTACTTGTACTTTTCTGTTTTAATTCGGTGTGTAGAACCTGTAGTGGAACAAGTGTGAGGGTTAATGTGTTCTCCTCCTAGAGTCATGGATGCATAGTCTTGTCAGCATCACTATACAACATTTTTAAACCAAGTGTAAGTGTTGAGGACTAGTTCATGTGTAAAGGGAAGATGTCAGAACAATAGGTATATATATTTTTTACGTGTAGTGGTTTAGTTGTGTGAATATGTTAGTTTACTGCAGGTGATAAGTTAGCGCCCTATTCTAAACACTGGAATTGAGAACACAACGTTTAATATAGTAGAACAGTTGTTAATGGTACTCCAAATTTGTAGCGTGTGTTGCAAATGTGGCACACGCTGCGTTGCACAGCTTGCAAAATCAGAGAGCGAGCCCAAGAAGGAGCTCTGCCACGACACCTCTTTAAGGCTGACATTCCTACCGACTGGACGTGAGAATTTCGGCCTAAAGGAGCAGTGTGAAGGGCAGGGGTCAGGGCCGACTCCTGCCTCCCTCTCTTATTGTTGTGACACGAGTGTGAGATGTGTTGTGGTGACCTCGTCCGTGTTGTGTTCTAGCGTATGGCTCCACCAACCACTTGTATATTAGACCATTTGTGTCCCCCGATGCCGCCGCCCCCCCTCCCCCCTTACGACCACCATCACCACTACCACCCCTGCCACTATTGCTGCCGCTACTACCACCACCACTACCCCTACCACTATCCCTGTCACTACTGCCGCTACTACCACCACCACTACCCCCACCACTACCCCCACCACTACTGCCGCTACTACCACCACTACCACTACTACCACTACCACAATCACCACCACTACCCCTTCCAATAATGTTGCTACTACCACTACCCCTACCACTACTGCTGCTGCTACTATCACCACTACCACTACTACTACTGCCGCTACTACCACTATTGCTGCTACTACCACTACTGCCCCTACCACTACTGCCTCTACTACCACTACCCCTGCCACAACTACCACACCACCACTACTACCACTATCACCACTACCCGTACCACTGTTGCCGCTACTACCACCTCTACCCCTACCACTACTACCACCACCACTACCCCTGCCACAATTGTCGGTACTACCACTACTATCACTTCTACCACTATACCGTTACTAACACCTCTACTACCACTGCTGCTATCACCACTACTACCACCACCACCACCACCATTACCACCACTTCTGCCACTACTGCCGCTACTACCACTACCCCTACAACTATTGTCTCCATTGCCTCCGCCACTACCATCACCACCAGTACCCAATTGCCACCGCCATCACCACCACCAGTACCCCTACCACCACCACCAGTACCACCACCGCCATCAATTCCTACCACCTCACCTCACACCTCACCTCACTCACCACCACCACCACTCACCACCTTCACTGACCACCACCCCTACCACCACCACCCCTACCACCACCACCCCTACTACCACCACCACCCCTACCACCACCACCACCCCTACTCACCACCATCACCACCACCACCACTATCACCACCACCACCACCACCATCACCACCACCACCACCATCACCACCACCAGTACTCCCTACCACCACCACCACGCAGGTCTCCCTACCACCACCATCACCACCACCATCACCACCACCAGTACCACCTCACACCACCACCCCTACCACTACCATCACCACTACCAGTACCCTCCCACCACCACCACTACCACTACCACCACTACCATCACCACCACTACCACCATCACCACTAACACCACCACCACCACCACCACCACTACCACCTCACCATCACCACACCACTCAGTACCCCTACCACCACCACCTTTACCCCTCCCATCACCTCCACCACTACCCCACCACCACTACTACCCCTCCCATCACCTCCACCACTACCCCCACTACTATCCCTACCACCATCACCACTACCACCATCACCACTACCACCATCACCACTACTACCACCATTCCTACCACCAGGCCCCTCTTCATCTAACACCCCCACCTCCCTTTTCTCCCACATGGTATTGTCTTCATTCCAACAACAACAACAACAACAACAACAACAAAAACAACAACAGATACCATAGGCTTTTCATGTAATTCAAATTTATCCAAGGTACCATCCCTCTCCCTCCCTCCCTCCTTCCCTCTCCGATACAGGATAACCCCTCCCTCTCAACTTTCCCCTACCTCTCTCTTCAATTTTCCCTCCCTTTCTCCCGCTTTCCTTCCTTCCGTCCTTCCCACCCTCCTTCCTTCCTTCCCTCTCTCCCTCCTTCCTTCCTTCCCTCCTCACCCCCCCTCTGCCACCTGCTCCATCCCTTCTTCCATCCCCCCCTCTCCTATGCATGACAGCCCCTCCCTCTCCCTCAACCTTTCCCCCTCTCTCTCCCTTCCTCTACTTTCTCCTCCCCTTCCATTCCCCTCCCTTTCTCTCTCTCCATATAACCTTTCCGTCCCTCCTTCTCTCCCCCCCTACCCTCCTGTTCTCCCTCCTTCCCTCCCTTTCTCCCTCTCTCCATCTAACCTTTTGCTCCCTCTCCCTCTATAGTGTTACCTGCTTTATACAACAACACCTTTACACTCGAGGAGGTGTTACCAGCTCAGGTCTGTATAGTAGTCCGAGAGGGATCAACCTTCATCTGGTAATACTGTAGTACTCGTCCAGGAATACCCGTAGTTGATATAATTATAGGAAATTATATCACTGAGTTTTACCTCCACATGTTTTACCGTCTTAGAATAACCCAGCATTATTATAGGTACTGTATAATTCGAGTCTCTGGGGCGATATTGTGAAATAAAATCTAGTGAATGAAATGATAGAATAACAGATAAAAAGAAAGAACAATGAAAGAAATAGGATAATAAGAGCAATAAAACTAGATAGAAATAATAATAAGGAAAAAGATGTATAGAATAATCAAGTTAACGATTGGATGGACACCTGACCTAATCAACCAATCGCAGTAACGACTAAGCATTATTAACCAATCAAATTAACGATTAGGAAGACTACCTTACCTAAATCGGTAATTGAAAAGACACTTTTTTGTTTATTTAACCAACGAAATTAACCCCGCAATTTAACCCAAACTAACCTAACATTAACCTACCAGTCTGATAGCGTTTAGATATATTAACTTAACCAAATTACAGACACTTAGGCTATCATTATTTCCGGTATGTTATTGTCTTTACTGTAGGTCGTGATATCAGGGTCATGTAAAAGAGATATAGGAGGAGTGTGTTTTGGAGGTGTATGTGTGTGTGTTGGAGGGAGGTTATGTGTGTGTGTGTGTGTGTGTGTGTGTGTGTGTGTGTTGGGGATATTTGTGTGTTTGAGGTGCTTGTGTGTTGGAGGAAGTTCGTGTGTTGGAGGTACTTGTGTGTTGGAGGAAGCTTGTGTGTTGGGGGGTGTTTGTGTGTTGGAGATGCGTGGTGTTGGACTACTTGTGTATTGGAGAAACTTGTGTGTTGGAGGAGGCTTTTGTAATGGGAAGTTGTATGTTGAAGAAACCTACTGTATGTATTGCATGATAATGTATATTGTATTAACCAGTGTTGCAAGGTCGTGTGTGTTTCAAAGACCTTGTATGTTGCAGTAGCATGAGTATTGCAAGAGGTTATGCGTTGCAGAATCCGTATGTGTTGCAGCACTTGTATTGCAGGAGTCTAAATTACCGTAAGAGTTTGTGTGTGTGTGTGTGTTGCATGTAATCATCTGTTGCCAATAATAGCGTGTTGCAAGGTATTGTATGTAGAAAGGCAAGATACTGTATGTGTTGCAAGTTGTGTGTTGCAAGAGGTAGTGTGGTGGTATTCTTGAGAGAGGTGATAGGGTGATGGTGCCACGGTCAGCTCCGTACAGTGTAGTTATTGGTGTAAGTTTGTCTGTCAACTTTCAGTAGAGGTCAAAGTTGTCACGGCGAGAGGAGAGATTTTTTTTCTTATATATTTTTAAAGGGCAAGTGTCTCTCTCTCTCTCTCTCTCTCTCTCTCTCTCTCTCTCCGTGACACTAGATACAGTATCTATTATCTCCATGTTGTAAAATGATAACGGAGATAAGAATTGATAAGCTACTCTATTAAGATACCAGAAGTGTTGATTTAACTCCTTAAAATTAATACAAACTACTTAATGATGAAGCCATCAGGTGAGTCAATAGGTAAAATGAAGTAATTGTGGAAGCTCATTTGACTCTGTGGTTATTACAGCTCTCGTTTGATTCAGAGGGAAATATCGCTTTGAATAAAAATGCTTCCTTGTTGATTAAAAATAGAAACCTCGCTTATGTAATATCCTAACCAGTTTCACTTAATTGCGCTTGGCATCCTGTGGTACTCAGCTAGTGCCATGGGATGTAAGATGCCAACAGGTAGCATCGAGAGATTTTTTTTTGAACTACCAGGTGTTCATGGAAGCTTTCACGTTTATTCACCTGACGCTTATCTAACTGTAGTGGAGATGGAGGGCGAGCTATTTATTGTTGCTCCCCCAAGTGGCATACCTTTACGAGACCACTGGACGTGCTACCCAAGTAGATCAAGATGTATTGTTTAATTACACGGTCTTGGGTGTAATGTTATTAGGACCTTTCTCTCCTCCCCCACCCCCCAAGTAACGTCAGAGAAGATGATGGGACGAGTAACAGGTGTTGTGTAGGAGCCCAGGTGTCCAGATCACGTAACATCTCCCTGAAGTAGCAGGTGTTAAGTCAGGTAACAACAACTTGAAGTAACAGGTGTTTAAGTCACGTAGGTGATGTTTAGGGTCACGCAACAGCTGTCTAAAGTCACGTAGCAGCTTTCTAAGTTCACGTAACAGTTACTTATGATCATATGACAGTCGAATGTATTACTTACCAATTACCACGAGTTATATAGCATCTACCTACAGAGATTTACTGCTTATATTAACCCCTACATTAACTCGTATAAAAACCTAAATAAAAAAGGTTCATCTATAGTGATACAAGATGAAGTGAACCCCGGAGACTCGTTTAATATGAGAACCCATTTATAGTGTTTGTTTATTTTATGATCACTTTACTGCTCAGGTGAAGGAACCATACAACACATCACTAATTGGGGAGGAAATGAACTGCGCTTCACGGCATTCCACACACACACACCTGTTTTGAGATCCCTTGCAGTAAACAAAGCTGTGATCAGTCAGGTAGACACGATACACGATCTCCTTCAGCTGGCTAGTGTGGTAACCCTGACACAGTGTTTACAGATGGGCATTTGTCCCTTACAAAGATAAACCTAGGTTAGAGCCTTCTTCATCCTCCTCCTTATCCTCCTCCTCCCTCCCACCATCCTTATACTTTTCCTTCTTCTTTCTTCCTCCTCCTTCAAGCTTCCTCACAGGTGTACACATCCTCCTCCCCCACCTTGTCAGTAGTATGATGCTTTACAAGGGCAGATAATGATGTTCTTGGCAGAGATAAGACCCAGATTAGATCCTCTTTCCTCCCTTCCTTTCCCTTGTCCCCCTCCCCTCCAGCCTCACAGGTGAGCCTTCCACTCCTCCTCCTCGCCCTGCTCGTAGGAAGGTGTAAGTGGGTGCAGGTGGCGTGAGGTGTTGGTCGTAAGTGGGGGGGGTGGGGGTGTGCGCGGCCCGGGGTGATGAAGGTGGCCACCGTTCTAAAGCCCCCTGTGTCCCCATGTCTGTCCTCTGTGGCGTCTCCTCCTGTCCGTGTGATGTACGCGTTCTGCATCTGTTGCGCTATCCGTACCGTACTGTACCGACCACGTACACGTACCGTACCGTCTCTCTGCAACGCCCACCACCAACCAACCACTACCACCACCCACTGTCTGTAAAATGTCATATTGTAGTCAGTTTTGGAGCTCCTACAATCCTCGGTAAGTAGACTGTGCCCCCCGGCTAGGCTTCGCTGTACCTTAGTTTCATACCAAAACTTTTTCATTATGGCATTCAGTAATCCTCTTAATGGCTCTCAGTTTACTTCTTATCATTATTATTATTTTTTTTTAATTCTGTTATGAATCTTTACCTCCCGACGGGTTTATCTTACCTGTTCTAATTTTTATAGAAGCAAAAAAAAAATATATAAAAAAAATATATATATATATCTATAATTTTAGCTTGTTTATGTTCACAGTTGTTCATATTTTAACCCACCAAGTTTGTTTTAATGGATGTGAACACTTAACAAGATTAAATGAACGCGTTGGAAAGTTCTCATGTGTTCACCTTATGTTCACCAACCAGTCATTTATATTTTTATGTCATTCCTAAAAAAATTATGTTCATATGTTTCCAATCTTTTTATTTTTGTTCATCGTCATTATTATTATTATTATTATTATTATTATTATTTTTATTATTATTATTATTATTATTATTATTAATCTATAGACATTAACCATCCTTTCTCCCTTAAAACAATTATTATTATTATTATTATTATTATTATTATTATTATTATTATTATTATTATTATTATTATTATTATTATTATTATTATTCATTTTCCTTCGTGCATGGTTCGTTACTTTATGCCGTTTACCATTAAGGATAGACTTTAATTCATTTTTTCCCCCTTTTTTTCCTTTATTATTAAATTCTATTACGGTTGTCACTTTGGGCAATGAACAGTTGAGAATCAGTATATAAAAAGAGAGAAGAAAAAAATAAAATAAAATAATAATCGCACCTGGAATGATTTCTGCCTGGAATGATATATTGAGAAAAAAATGGATGACGATAATGGTTAAGAATAATAATAGGAATAATAATGGTTTAGAATAATAATGGTTAAGAATAATAATGGTTAAGAATAATAATGGTTAAGAATAATAATGGTTAAGAATAATAATGGTTTAGAATAATAATGGTTAAGAATAATAATGGTTAACTAAGAATAATGGCTAATGGTTTGATAAAGGGTGATAAAGGGTAGAAGTGAAGAGTTAACTTGTTGCTTCAGTCTCTCCCCTTCTACCAACCCCCATACACCTTCTCTTCCCCCTTTTTTTCACAATTTTTTTTATTACCGCCCTTTGCCTCGCCCATGAAGGACTGCTCTACACGCCCTCTCTTTTGTGGTGATAACTGTCGTGTAAACTTATCGTCGGGAACTTCTGTCGGGTCTGTCGGGGTCTTTTTTTGTTTTGAGGGGGGTACCTGGTTTTCTTGGAGGGGAGGGTCGTGTGTGTGTGTGTGTGTGTGTGTGTGTGTGTGTGTGTGTGTGTGTGTGTGGCAATGCGAAAGTAAAAAGCTGACCCTCTTTTTTTTCCTCTTTGATTAATCCCTTTACAGAAGATAATCTAATCCTCTTCCCGTATTTCTTAATCCTATGAAGGGATTATCTTATCCAGTCGTCAGTTAATCCTCTGTTTAAGACCAACTGATCCTGGATATTGGATGATCCGCTGGAAGACTATCTCATCCTCTTAGCTCATCCACAGGAAGTCAAGTATTACTGTATTTGGCCAAGTCAAGTATTACTGTATTTGGCCAAGTCAAGTATTTGCATAATCTTTACAATATATTTCTCAACTAAATGGTTTACAATATTAGTTCATCAGTCGACTATCGTAAATGTAAGTGACGTCATCTTCATTATACCTATGAACAATGATGTTATACAAGCTGAGGTAGTAGTACTATTTTCTACCTCTCCACCTCCCCTCAACCTCTCCACCTCCCCTCAACCTCTCCCCGTCCCCTCAACCTCTCCACCTCCCCTCAACCTCTCCCCGTCCCCTCAACCTCTCCACCTCCCCTCAACCTCTCTACCGCCTCAACCTCTGCCGTCCCCTCAACCTCTCCACCTCCCTCAACCTCTCCACCTCCTCCTGCTTACCTCCCACTCAACCTCTCCACCTCCTCAGCCTCTCCCACCTCCCAACCTCCACCACCCCTCAACCTCTACTTCCCCAACCTCTCTGCGCCCCTCAACCTCCACCTCCTCAACCTCCCACCGCCCTCAACCTCCTCCTCCCTCAACCTCTCCCCGTCCCCAACCTCTCCACCACCCCAACCTCCTCACCTCCCCTTAACCTCTTCACCTCCCAACCTCTCCACTCCTCAACCTCTCCACCTCCCCTCCTTTCCTCCACCTCCCTCTAAACCTCTCCACCTCCCTCAACCTCCTCCTCCCCTAAACCTCCACCTTCAACCTCTCTAACCCCCCAACCTCTCTACCGCCCCCTCAACCTCCCTCCCCTCGCTCTCCACCTCCCTCAACCTCCACCTCCCCAGCCTCTCCACCTCCCCTCAACCTCCTCCCTCAACCTCTTTCCCTCTCGCCTCCTCACCTCCCCTCAACCTCCCACCTCCCTGCCTCTCCCACCTCCCCTCCTTCTCCACCTCCCCTCCAACCTCCTCCACCTCCCCTCAACCTCCACCTCCCTCCCAACCTCCTCCACCTCCCCTCAACCTCCCACCTTCCCTCAACCTCTCCTCCCTCAGCCTCTTCCCACCTCCCTCAACCTCTCCCTCCCTCAACCTCTCCCCCTCCCCTCAACCTCTCCCTCCCCTCCAACCTCTCCACCTTCCCTCCAACCCCTCACCTCCCTCCAACCTCTCCACCTCCCTCAACCTCTCATTCCACCAATTATTATCGTTCCCATCTTGTCCGCCCTTCTCCTCTCAGACCCAATCCTCTCCTTCGCTTCTGCAAACTCCTGCTCGCCCGCCCGCCCGCCCGCCCGCTTCACGCCCGCCCGCCCGCCCGCTGCTCCACTCTATAAAACGCCCAGGCCAGAATACCTCCATTAATTAATTAACATCTAAGGAGGGGAGAGGAGGGGTGGGGAGGGGAGAGGAGGGGCGGGAGAGGGGAGGAGAGAAACTTACATGGAGGACCATCAACACAACTACAGTACTAAGTTTTGGTCGACGGTTCTGTCTGGTGGAGTTTAATGACTTGCCATACGGTGGTTAAGGAGTTACTGAAGGAGGGAAGGAGGGAGGGAAGGAAGGAAGGAGGTAAGGAGGGAGATACCAAAACGAGGAAGACCTTGTTAGGGAGGGCTGTTAGTGGTGGGGCCTCGTGTCTTTGTTGCCTGTTGGGGGAGGGAAAGAGAGAGAGGGAAGGGAGGGAGTGAGAGAGAGGGAAGGTAGGATGGAGGGGGATAGAAAGGAAGGAAGAGGGGATATAGAGAGATAGAGAGAGGGAGGGAGAGAGGGAGAGAGGGAGGGAGGGAGGTGTATAATTGCTTTAAATATTTCGTTGCTGATAAGTGTTTGTATGTGGGTGTTGGTAAAGAGGGTGAAATTGGTAAGAATGTGGAGCGAAATAGGTAACAAGAGTGGAATAGGAAAAGTAGAGTGATATAGGTTGGATTAGGGTGAAATAGGTAAAAATAGATATTGAAATGGGTGAGAATAGGGAGCGAAATAAGAAAGAAGAGTGAAATAGAGTAAAAATAGAGAGTGAAATAGGTTAAGAATTATATATCAAATGTTGAAATAGTTGAGAGCAATATACTCTTGTTGTTGTTGTTATGGGAAATACTGAGAGAATAGTTTGTGGGGATTTTTTTTTTTCTAAAGGTTTTTGTAATTCTGTTGTTGTGAATTACTTGGAACCCATGATATATATACTCTCTCTCTCTCTCTCTCTCTCTCTCTCTCTCTCTCTCTCTCTCTCTCTCTCTGGGTAAATAACGTCATCAGGTTTTATAAAGTACGTGTGAGAGAGAAAAAAAAATAATTGACATCCCAAACCAAATATGATGATGATGATGATGATGATGATGACAATAAGAATGATGATAATGATGACGATGACGACAGGAGGCTAAACAAAAGACAACAATGATGGAGGTTAAACTAAACAAAAGAATCAACAAAACCTGGGTGTGACTTTCCAGAATTAACAAAAGTCGTCACCGTTACCCTGTGTGTGTTCCCCGCCTCTGGACACAAGTCTCATCAGGCACACATTTGGGGGCCCTGTTGTTAAGAATTTTATCACGTAATCAAGGAAGTTATGACTCACCTGAGGATTCATATTCAAACGAAACTTAAGAGCCGCGTTGTCATCTTGTCTTGGGTCTGACTCACTCTCTCTCTCTCTCTCTCTCGGGTCTTTAACAATTCTCCATTGGACGATCACGTAAGATAATTTTGACGATGTATGGATCAAGTTCCTCTTTATTTTGTAAGGGTTGATGAGGGTTTGTCTTCATTAGCCTCCAGTTTATACGAGTTGATGTATGAGCAGCAAGAAGGTCTGGTAACACTCTTATGTATGGTGGTCGACGTGGAGTGTTGTGTCGTTTGATGGGGAAACTGTGTGGATGTTATCTAGGCTTTTGTTAAACTCTGATGATGTATTTGGCTTCGTCACACTCATGTTGCTGCCTGGGAGGGGGAGGGGCGTCAAAACCTCATTACATCAGTTTGTGGTTCATGTTGTGTCTTGTCACCAACAGAGCACCATGATGTTTCCTCCCTGACGCCACTTATATTACCTGTAGAGTTTTCTTCATATATTTCCTGCTTAATGTAGCAGTGTCAAAATCACTCTATATATATATATATATATATATATATATATATATATATATATATATATATATATATATATATATATATATATATATATATATATATATATATATATATATATATATATATATATATATGATTGCTGTAACACATTTATCTTTACACTTCGTACCTTGGAATTAATCTACTAATGGAATCTAAAAAAAAAATTACTTGTGAATTGAAAGCAAAAAAAAAAAAAGTTTTTGCAGCAAAATAGTTGATTCAACTTCACCGGAATATGGACAGGCGTATCAACGCTGGTGTATATGTGTGTGTGTGTGTGTGTGTGTGTGTGTGTGTGTGTGTGTGTGTGTGTGTGACATTTTATCACGATATC